GCTTCAATTAATGATGTGAAATTTAATAACATAACAGAACAAATCATGGGGTTACGAACGGGGTCAGTTTCGCTAATAAAACTGGAAGATATTATTAATTATAAAGGATCTTAAAAACAAATTTTATGAGGTTTCCAGAGATAAAATAAAAAATCAATCAAAAAGAAAAATTTCTAAATAAAATCGGAATAAAAGTAATTAACTGAAATTGATGCTACAGAATGAAACTGATAAAACCATAGAAATGAACAAAATATTAACTGGTCGTATAAATAATCTTAAAGCTTCACGAGTTCCGGAAAGTCTGTAGGCTTTAGAGTTTTACTTTATTAAAATGGCTGGTGTTGGAACAAAAATTAATAGTACCCCCATATCACATCTAAGAGGTCCTCTAGGTATTGGCTTCCAGTACCTCGACAGGTACTTCACAGGTACAGGTCAAAAAATTTTGACCTGAAGAATCGGAGACTTGCAAATATCTCTTGTCCAATTGAGGATAAGGATGCAGCATGCAAGAGTTATGTTGATGAGGGGGTCTTAAAGGATTCCGAAATGACCGATAATAAATTGATTTAGTGAGGGAGGGTGTCATGGTGCATACCAACTTTCTCGAGAGATAATTACCTGCAGTAAAATCAATAGCACAAACTCTTGATGGAAAAGTTACTCAGGAAATGACAGTATTAAAATCATTTGTTAGCTTAAATCGCAAGTTAACCAGGAATTTAAAAGCAAAGAAAATACCACAAAAATTCACCATATCTTTACAAGACAAAACGTTTCGGAGCCCAGCTCCATCGTCAGCTTATAACACAAAATTCAGTTCAGAAGAAGTTCAGTCCTAGAAACACAAACACAATCAATTAGTAAAGTAAAATGCATTGTCAGGTTTTAAAACGGAAAACAATTAAATAAGACATGAAATTAACGCTAGTAAACGGCCTATCTATTTACTATTTCAAGATGAAAGGAGCTAAAAGCGGCATTCAGACTAGGCTTCTGTTTGAATATATACAGGGATTCTAAAATTCGTAGATCAGTAACACCAGATGTGGAAGCTAGAAATTGAAAATCACTATTAGATACAGAGGTGTTGCACTGCACGGCATGAACACGTACAGCAGAATGAGGTGGATGTGCAAGTAGGTTCCCCGTTCTATAACTTCTGCCCTTATGCTCAGCCAGCCTAGTATAGAAATTGCGTGACGTCATACCGACGTACGCTGATGCGCACTGTGCGCAACTATATCTGTAAACTAGTGACAATCGCATAAGAACAGGTAGGGTATCCTTATACCTGAAAAACGAGCCGATTCTAAAATTGTTAACTAGCAACGCATGAAGATTTATATCCGGAAGATATTTAGAAAATAAAACTTTTAATTCATTTGACATACAGTCTCAGATGCGGAGCCAAAGTAGGGAAAAGAACAGTAAACAACTTTCCTATTGTCACACTTGGGAACAACTGCAGTATATTGCTTGGACATAAACTTTGTAACTTGGGTAAACACCAGATGCGATGGAAAGCCATTTTGTGAAAAGATATTGCGCAACCATTCGAATTCAGAGAGCATGGCTAGGAAACTGGAGCAAATGCGAAAGCCGCGGTTTATCAATGTTTGGATCCCACTTAATTTGAAACGAAAGGAACAAAAGCTAAAAAAGCTGGTGCTTAAGCCGGTAAATGTCGATTTTCTAAAAACAGAAATTTGGAAACGGCCATTAGATTTGGTAACTTTGTAATCAAGGAAAGACAAGCTGTTCTCTGATTCAAGCTCCATGGTGAATTTGATAGACTTATGTTGGAGATCAAGATAGTCAAAGAGAAGGCCCACATGAGAGGGATGCTTAAAAATTAATAAAGGTATCGTCAATATATCGGTATGACGTCACGCAATTTCTATACTAGGCTGGCTAAGCATTAGGGCAGGAGAACCTACTTGCACATCCACCTCATTCTGCTGTACGTGTTCATGCCGAGCAGTGCAACACCTTTGTATCTCATAGCTATTTTAAAATTCTAGCTCTCACATCAGGTGTTACTGATCTACGAATTTTAGAATCCCTGTATATATTCAAGCAGAAGCCCAGTCTGAATGCCGCTATTAGCTCCTTTCCTCTTGAAATAGTAAATAGATAGGCCGTTTACTAGCGTTAATTTCATGTCTTATTTAATTTTTTTCCATTTTAAAACCTGACAATGCATTTTACTTTACTAATTGATTGTATTTGTGTTTCTAGGACTGAACTCCTTCTGAACTGAATTTTGTGTTATGAACTGACGATGGAGCTGGATTCCGAAACGTTTTCTCTTATAAAGATATGGTGAATTTCTGTGGTATTGTCTTTGCTTTTAAATTCCAGGAAATTACCGATATTGACAAAAGAGTAACTCAAGAAATGATTAAAGTAAATACAGAATTGGAAAATCTTGGTATGAAATTAGCTCTGGAAATGACTGAAGTAAGATCAAAATTGCGAAAACAAATGAAAAATTTCAAATCCCTCGATGAAAAAGTACCCTCATTAGCAGGAATTCAAGTTGAATTAAAGGCATATATTGATGGTGTTAAAAGACGGGCAGATGACAACATGAATAAAGTAGCAGAAGTAGTGAGAAAAAGCAGGATGAATTCTCTGAACGACTTGCAAAAGTTGAGGATATTGGAACAGGCGTCCGCTGGAGAGCTCTACTGTGATTTTGGGAAAAGATAAATATTAAACTAAGTTTATAAATTCATCCAATGTATTTATAATCTTGGTTAGTAAAACGGAGAGCTAATGTACGATATGAAATAATTTGTACACAAAAGATTGGCATTCACTCCACTTAACGCATTTACGCTTCGGTTTAAAAAGTCATTTCATCTAGTCAAGTGTGATGAGCCCATCAAAAATATTCGAAAATATAGAGTGATTTATGATGGAAACAAATTAAAGTTAGTAGAGGGTGATACATTTACACGCTATTGTCATTCGATGCAGCCTTTTAGGAGAAAAAAAGCCTGATGAAATTTCTTATAAAAATGGAATACGTAATAACAGATGTCCAAAGAGAGGTGATGTTCATTTCTGGAAATATTAATCAGCTGCAGATTGACGTTGATATTATTCGCTATGATATTCGCAATCTCTCTTTCGAAATAAATCAGATTATAATACAAGCGAATATAATAGAACAAACATTGAGAAGGATTATAGAAATACAACTTTTAAAATGCTCTATAAAATAGAAGTGTCGGCACTGAAGAAATAGGCCCATGGCCTGTTGCCGATTCTTGTACTTTTCGTGACTGATTCCACAAGGAATCCGGCCTTTTGAACACAATCTTTCCATAACTGACGATTGATTGAGATAGCTGCTGGACTTATTGCAAGGCTCGAAAGATGCTAGGCATTTCAAAACTGAACATATGCTCCTGCATAGCTTCGTCTAGTCTGTTCTTGAAGGCGTTCATACTCGGAGCGTCAACGATGCTATCAGGGAGGCAGTTCCACGTGTCGGTGACTCGAAGCGAGAAGAAATGTTGTCGCATGCATGTGTTACAACGCAGTTTTTTAGTTTAGGCCCCTGGTGTTGGTTCTTGTTTCAAATTCTAGTGATTCTTCTGATACCTTGTATGTATAAACCGCGGGTATACTTGTATACTGCAATGAGTTCACCACGCAGACGTCGATAACAGAGGCTTGACAGCTTCATAATCTTTACTGTTTCTTCATAAGGCTTGCCTTTTAATCCCGGAATTATCCGTGTCATCCTATAAGTGGAAAGACGATAATAAAAATAAACAGATGAACCATTTTGTATTTACTGCGGAAAAACGTGCTATCGGAGAACTGTATTGATTTCAAGAATCTTTTCCCGTGTGGCAAGTCAACTCATCAGCCTGTATATAAGTTGTTGAAGGACGCTTTCGATAAGGGATATAATGAATCTGAAATCATTGATTTCAAGTGATGAGCCCATTGAAAATATTCAAAAATATAGAGTGATTTATGATGGAAACAAATTAAAGTTAGTAGAGGGTGGTTCATTTACACGCTATTGTCATTCGAGGCAGCCTATTACGAGAAAAAATGTCTGATGTTTTATATTTATTATTCTGACTGCAATGGCAATATTGATGAATATCTTGAAAACCAACCTATAAGTCGTCAACAAAAATGTGCAATCGAATATTTTGAGAATACTGCTTCTGTAACTGATCCCAGTGATATAGATCCAAGGAAGAAGAGTTTGTTCTTTTTTTGGTGATATTGCTACGGAAAAGAATCAAAATCCTGCTGATAGTTTTCACACCGGTGTAAGACATAATAACTAGTTCAATTTACTTATCCCAAAACTATCACATATTACCAAGACAAACCATTAGAACGAATTCAAATTAATTAATTTTATTCCAGTTTTGTTTTCCTCGATATGAACAATATTCACAGTGATTACGTTGCTTGCGATATGTCCTTTGCCGAGTTTCAAGAACTGTGTAATGAAACGTATAAAGTACCTTATAGCTTTGTGTTCATCAATAAAGATGAGAACCCAGGTTCTTGAAAGTATTTCAAAAATTTAAATCAATTATACATACCAAAAAGTTTCTTCCATCAAAAACTCGCTCAAGCCTGAGTCTTCGTTAAAAAGTGCTCGGTCAATCGGGGTAAATGGTCGTTAACTCGTGTTTTTAGTGGCCAAGATTCGGCATAAGATTGTAGGTAAATGTTCAGGTGTTTAATCGGAATAGAGTGCTCAAATTTTTTATGGTCATAACTCGGGGTAAGATTGTGAGTAATCGACCGTTTTTTTCGGGTTATTTGGCCAATTTCAATGAGTAATATTCGGGGTAAGATTTCGGTTAAACTATCGGTAATCTGTTAGGCTGTTTATGCAGATTGTAATCATAAGCTCGGCTTAGGAACTACTTACAGGTAATCAGTTAAAAATTGCATACAATAACCAGAACCTCGTACAACGACGGCGTGTTCTAGTGTGAATCACTGACTCAAAGACAGGTTCCCTGTAGCTGGTGTCGGGGGCGAGGCACGCCCGCATGATGTGCGCTCTTCTGTTCTTGCTCTTGAGGACGTGGTAGCTGACGGGCGTGGGCTCCATCAGAACGCCCGTCCAGCCGAGCTCCCGTTCAAGGTACAGTGTGTTAGATAAGCTCTCTCCCGTCAACGCTCCTACTTCGAAGAAGAAGCCTCCTCTCTGGAATCGTTATTTCAACTTTTATTTATACGGTTTCAAGCTGGGAAAGCTACGCATAATAAACCAATATTTTAATAACAACGTAATTCATTCTCAATATAATTTATCCGCAATTTTAAGCAGTTAGGGCATAGAATTGAAAAAGACATACACACGACCGACAATACCTGAATGTAAAACCTGTATGAGTGCAGAGTATGTGGATGTGGAAAAATTTAAGACCCTGCTCGTTATTTTAAAAATCAATCCTGATATTAATATAATTCGCCTTTAAAGTGAATCCTGGTATAAATATATCTGTAAATTTGTTTTTGCATTTAAATTGGTGGGAAGAATAATTTTTTTAATGAGACACCACTGCAATATGACACCGAAAACCCTCACCATATCCCTGAAAATCTTCGTGACGTGTTTGTCTTGGCCGTGCTGGGAGTAGAACTTCTGGCGCGGGTTGTCAAGGTAGTAAGGACCCTCTCGGGCGGGCGCGATGAGGGCCTCTCGAGCTGCCTGGATGACGGCCTCGTCTCGCATGTCTTTGCCCAGGAGGTCAGGGTGGAAAAACAAGTCCTCCGTCTCGGGAGAAGAACGCATCGCTTCGTGTTCGGTAACTGGTTTCAGGGTGTTAGGGGCGGTTACCATATTACATGTTGTGCTTCAAGTCATTCATTGATTTAAATCAATGGGAAACGATTATACGAATGTATTTTCAAGGCACTTATGTCATTACTAAAAACATCTCTCATGTGTATTTCATTGAAGCTAAATTTTTATTTTGTTTCTTGTATGATTTCTGTCTTTTAATGAATTTTTAAGAACTATTTAACTCACCTTCAGTAACTTCTACTATCACACTTTTGGTGAGAAAAGGAATCCCTAATAATAGAAGAAATATCACCACAAGGACCGACAAAAGTGTTCTCAGAGAATATGTCATTGCGATGTACCTCATTATTTAACATCTATTTAGGAGTGATCGTGCCGTAGAAACGTGTTATCTGAAAAACTAAGAATTAATCCGCTGTTGAACTACGCTAGCAGCTTTAGTTGACAATTAGTTAGCTGGCTTCTTCTGCTAGTACGAAGAACCTGCATTTGCGTTCACTTCCTTATCGGTAATGCAAGTCATAGTTGACAAATATATAAAGTTAAAGAAATGGAGGTAGATCAAGCATGATTATTGTTTCGCCGAAGTAAGTTTAGAGACAACGTATTCTGTATTTCACGCCTTTTTCGAGTCAATTAACATGTTTAAATAATAATAATGAGTCAATAATGTTTATATTCCACGAACTAAAGTCCAAAAATGTAATCTTGAAACTAATTTCAACAGAAATTCTGTTGTACGCCGAAAGTATTTTTTCACATTCAAAGTTCTTCCGTAATGAATACTACTGATCTTTTGTCCACCGTTCACCGCTTAAATAGCCAATCTTTGCTCTAAACCAGTTTTCCATACTTCGGTGCTAGTTATACAATAGTTTTTGAAGAAATGGTTCGTTTTTGTATTCCAAGTATGACAAAATATGGAAACGTCAGAAGTTTGAAACCTCGGTCTCAGCGCAGCACCGGCAATCATAGAAAGCCTAACACCAACTGCAGTCGCGGCAAGAGTCACACTGCTGGCGACGAGCTGAAGGAACCTCGTCAGACTGAACAAGTAAATTTCTGGTCTTGTTTTAGCCACGCGTTGCTTGGGTTGAATAACACTGTTTTCTGAACGCAAATAAATCGATCAGATGATATACAGTTTGCCGCACTTGCGAACAAGCATTGACAGAGTAAAATAATAAAATGTATAAAAAAAATTTTAAAGACCACGTTTTTCATGTGGACTAAAAAGTAGAAAATAATTTTTCGGCAGCTACTGATCTCTGTTTGCATTCATTCTCTTGGACTTTTGTATTTCAGTTGAAATATTTTACAACATCTAAAACGAAAAACGTGGGGCGCATATGTATTTAATTGTTTGGTGATTACTTGTTATGATGAATATGATGGTTCATTGAACATTTGATTTGGTGAAATATCGATTGCAAGATTTGATCATCACAAACAGACAGACAGACAGACGGACACGAAAGCGAGCTAAGAAAAACGTGGTAAAAAATACGAATGAGTGCAAGATACAAACGTTTTAATGAACCATATAAATAATTAAATCAATAGAATATAAGACTGAAGAATCCTGCTAGGGAATTGAATCAAAAAGAATGCCTAACTGAAGAACAGAACGTGGTCTGAAAAAGTAGCAAAAACTTCAAACCATACAAATTATTGAAATATCCATGTACGTAGTAGAATTACATATGTATTTAGTAGGATTGGGACCAATAACGACTTAGCAAAGCATGACAGTAAATTTATGTAGTTTTAATTTTCGGTTTAGCGACTCGATACTTGTCTTACTATACATGATTTGATTCCTGCCCAAGTTTTAATTACAAAAATTATAGGGCATAGAAAAATGTAAAAAAAATCGTTTATATCAATTCAATGAAATGAATTATTAGTAAACAGAAACATCGATGCAATCGTACAAAAAAGCTTACCCTGAATTGCGAAACTGGAATTGAAAGCCAGCCATAAATGATCATACATTGAGAATCAGTTGTCTCCCATGAATGACAATTTCATATAAAAGTTTTTCATATGTAAAGGTCGTAAAAACATGACAACCATGAAAATGTTTGTCTAAAATCCTAAAGTATAGCAGTAGAGTGTAGGTGTGACAACCATTTAGACAGCACAGTACATTGATAAGAACATAATCCACACCAAGATTCTTATGTACCTCCTGAAATCTCTGATGGATTGCACGTAGCAAAAAGTAACGTTTTGTATACTGAATTATTCGTGCCTGTTCTTGGAAATACTTTTTGCACTTTACTTTTTAACAATATTGAAAATATCAACAGTCTGTTATAATGACACGTTATCACTTAGATGAATATGCTAGGCAAGTTTTTAGGGGAAGAATATACCGTTTTTAAGGGGAGCGTCTACCCTAAATTTGAAAATTTCCACTTTTTCGGTTTTTATACTCATTTTAAAGCTGACATTCTGCCCTATCCAATGGTACCACTGCCATCTCTCTACGTTGATTTATGATTTCACGACATTTCATGAAAGGGGGGCGGGTGGGGGAGTTCTTTAAGTAATTAGATAGGAACTAATTAGCTGCTGAGCTCTTTAANAGCCTTAAAACTAAGTGAGGAAGGCATAGAGCGAGTGGCTGCACACCTTTCACCTCGCTGTCATGATGGGCACTGAAAGACCTGGCTGCATCTGGCAGTATATCAAGTCATGCCCCGTAATTAATGCCTTAGGAATTTGTTAAGGCCGCCCCCCACCGCCCCCCGTTCCATGGGGCGTGGTGAACATAAAAATGGAGGTAGAAAGATGATTCTGCCACCAATGGAATCGTCAGAAAGTAAGCTTTAAGATGAGTTTAAGCACCGGATAATGCCATGATTGGCCGCTTTACGTCAGACGTTCCTTTTTAGTGTGTCCACCCTTCTAATTAATCCATAGGCTTTACTGAAGGGCTCTAAAAACTCCCTCCCTTCGGGGGGCTGTTACGAAATCATTTTTCGACGTAGAGGGATGATTCTGGTACGGTTGGATGCGTCAAAAACTAAGCTTTAAGATGAGCACAAAAACCGGAAAACGCCAAAATTGAAAATTTTAGGGTAGTCGGTCCCCTTAACGCCTGCGTGCAATGTTGCTACATCTGTTGGGAAGCCAAAGACGCCATTACAGAACCGACCGAACGAGTCTGCATCTGTTTAGGTTCTTTTAAAAATCTCTCCTACGTACTATTGAGAGTCCCGCCGATTAGAGTGTGTGCGGTAATACTGTTTCTCTGTGCTCAGGGCTCCAAATCAGTTGACATTCATCACCATATCAGTCAAGTGTAAGGTGAAAACATTATGAGTGATGGAATGGTGCAAAATGGGTTAGGGCCCTTAAAGATGGCCGCATAACCATTTATAATGAAGAACGAAGAGGGAGACTTATAGTCAATACCGACGATCTTATTCATATAAGTGAGCTGTTATGTGAAAGAAAACGGACAATTCTCTGACTGTGGTCGTTCAGTCTGTCTCTGTGTCTTGGCTATGTCTCTGTGATTGTTAACATTAAAAAAACAGTGATTGTATAATCAGGTGACGAGTTTCTTTGACGATGACATACAAAAACCGGCCGCACGTTACGATAAATGCCTTACTATATAGGGGGAATAATGTAAAAAAAGTAAAGTGCAACCATTTACTGTACGTGCATACAACATTTTACTCTTTGTTCTCATACTTTTTGTTTAAAGATGCGAATGATCTGGTGATTGGTCTTAATCGCAGTCTTTTTTTTCAAAAAGACTCTGGAATTATCAGTAATGAACTCTCTATTTCATTTTCGCCGGTAAACTTTATAGGCAAGTTGATGGTTTAGGAATGGTCCTTGGTCACACACTTGCTAACATTTTCATATGCTTTCACTGGGCACATGAAAATGTGCCAGTACTGAGCAGGGTGGTCCAGTGGTTACAGTTCAGAGTACCAAGATTGGCAGAGAGGCGCGGGTTCGATCCCAGCTCTGTGCGCCAGTTTCTGGTCAGAATCGGCAAGGAGGCCGGGCGGTTAAGCACAGCAGAATTATTGTAGCAGTGAGTTGCGAGTTCGAAACCGCAAAATGCTGTGAATGTTCTGCGATGTTCAGAATAGGCGACAGGCCTACGGCCTAAAAAACGCTGAAACCGCTATTGCTATTATTATTTTTATTATTATTATTATTGTTATTATTATTATGAGGTTTCGTGGTTGGCTGATTTTCCCATTGATTTCAAACCGATTTTTTATAATATATGTATATTGATAATACCTTTCTGATCTTAATGCATACCTCTCATGCGGGCCTTTTCTTTGATTATCTAAATCTCAAACATTCTTCAATAAAATTCACTATGGAATTAGAATCCAACAATTGCTTGTCGTTTCTCGATTGTAAAGTTGCTAAATCTGGCGGTCGTTTTCAGATTTCCGTTTATCGAAAACCGACATTTACCGGCTTTGGTATGAGCTTCTTTAGTGTAGGGATCTTAGCTGAATATTCAGGTGTAGTGTGGGAAACGGAGGGAGAATAAGAACAATAGTAACTAATGTGTGGGACGTAGAATAAGTTAAGGTGTTGACGATCCCGTAGCAGTGTAAGAATTCAGAGCTGACTTTTTGTAGGACCAAAGCAAGGACTAGTTTAGTGAATTCAGACAACTGCAGAGGTATGTGTAACTGTCGATATTTATCAATATTGTATTCATTTGGTGTGTTGATATTATGTGAGATATCTAGTAAGGTATTACGCGACTAATTGTAAATTTGATTTTGTTCATGTAGGGAGAAGTCAACCCGGATAGAAGATCACAAGAGGCTATCAAGAAGATTCAGTGTTGTGCATATATAATTTGTTGCTGTGTTGTGAGAAACCTCTGCTACGCTGTGCCCTAGCATATGAAAGAAGAGAGTTCTGTACCCTATTACGATGCCCATATGTTCGCGCTAACTTGTTCGATTTCTTAATTTAAGTGTTCACTTTTCATTAATATTAAATTAATTGTGTTAACTCGAGATCATTATTTAACCTCGGCACGAAAGATCATTACATTCAGCTTCTGCTCGATTTGTTTCAATCGTTCAAAGCTCCAACTTAATCAATTAAGGCAGAGTTAACACGGGGCTGCGAGGCTGGACTTCGTGGGCAATCTTTCCTACGGTGTCCCATAGCACCGCATGAATAACATTGCGCGCCAGCTTCGCTCTGGGAACGACCCCTGCCGATGTGGATGCCCGACGAGTTATTTGTGGACACCAGCGAAGGATTGGTCAGTTCTGATTTAGGTAGTTCATCACCTGATTACACACCTCGAGCAGTCGAGTAATTATCAGCCAAAACAGCCATTTGATTAGGATCAGTAACTCAGTAACGCAACTTTTCCTGACAAAGATTCTAAGGTCTGGAGATAGTGAAGTCAAGAATTGGTCGGCGACCATAGCCTTGCGCAAAGATTCATAATCCTTCTCCACTCCAGCGCTCGACATCCAAAAATCAAACATCCTTAACAAAGAAGGGGCAAATTGTTCAAAATTCTGATTCGGCCCTACCTCGCTACAACGGAATTCCTTGCGATATTCATCATCATTTTTACGGAAAGCCTTCAGCAGAGCAAGCTTGAGGGTGTCATAGTTAGAAGTAATGGCATCAGGAAGGGAGACGTAAATCAGGGCTTGTCCGTGAAGAAGCAAACCCAATTGAACTGCGTAATTCTCAGGCTTCCATTTGAGCATCTGATCAACCCGCTCGAATCTAAGCAAATAAGAGGTAATATCGTCACCGCCTGTTAATGGTGGCGGACGGCTAGTT